GAAGTGAGTTTAATCAACGATCGTAGATTGTTAACGATAGATCGAGGAGGAGGGAGTGATCGATAAGAGAGCATGAGAGGAAATCGTGATGATTAACCAAGATTCCGTAAGAGAGAGATGATTGTCGGCGATAAAGTGGAGTGCGTCACCGCGAGCCGTCATCCTTGAGATACAGGCCTCGTCGAGTGACGGAACGAGCGAAGAAGAAGAAGAAGAAGAAGAAGAAGAGGAGGAGGAGGAGGAGGAAGAAAAAAAACCCTCGTTATCGTTGTGGAAACAAAACTATTAGCGTAAGATAGCGCGGAAATTCGCGCGGAGCATTCGTGTGCTCGTGACAGTTGCCTCGTGAAAATAATGTCGGAAGACGAGCACTCTTCTCGCGTAATCTCGTTCCGTTGCTTTCAAACGTTCAACATCGACTTCGATTAACACCTTCCTCCTCATCGAAAATCGAGAGACGATATTACATCCGTTTATTCGTGAGGACGGAATGGATACATCGGAATGAGGAGGAATTTGAGGAAAGCGAGAGCCTCGAGAAGAGATCGAACGTGCGTCGAGATGTGCCCATGAAGCGATCACGATGGAACCGCGTGGGATGATGATGTCGAACCTGTCGTGCGACGGGTGCGCGGACAGCGACCGAGATTCCGACAGCAGCAGCATGATCGTGGACCCGGTGAGTTTGGACAAGAACGACTTGTCGCCGTCCCAGTCGTCGTCAAGCCCCATAATACCAAGCTCGCCCGTTCCACCGACCACCACGTCCTCCCGTAACCGTGGGGGGAGTCGCAGCAAGAAGAGCTACTCGATGATGTCGGGCGGGAACGGGCAGCAAAAGAGCAACGCGTCCGGCCAGGCTCCATCCTCCTACGGGAACGACAAGATGTCCTCGTCCCTGATCAAACCCCCCTACTCCTACATAGCCCTGATCACGATGGCTATCCTCCAATCGCCCCAGAAGAAATTAACGCTGAGCGGGATATGCGAGTTCATCATGTCGCGATTCCCTTACTACCACGACAAGTTCCCTGCATGGCAGAACTCGATCAGACACAACTTGTCGTTGAACGATTGCTTCATCAAGATACCGAGGGAGCCGGGCAACCCGGGCAAGGGTAATTACTGGACGTTGGACCCGCTGGCCGAGGACATGTTCGACAACGGGAGCTTCCTGCGCCGTAGGAAGAGGTACAAGAGGCCCCCGCCGCACTACGTGCTAAGAGACAGAGCGATCATGGCCACGTTCGCCATTTGCGGGGACCGGGGGCCCTGTCCGGGCGGGGGTGGAGGTCAACCCGGGGCACTCGCCTATCCAAGCGCCGCGTACCTGTCCCCGCCGCCCGGCCTCCCCCTGCTCGACTTCTCGCCCTCGACCTTGGAGGCACTGAAGCTCGGCGGCTTCCTGGAACCGCCGCCACCCCTGTACAAACCTGTGCCGATCACCGCACCCCCGATCAGGCAGATCGATCCCGCCCCGACGAGGACCACCGCGATACCGAGCGGACATCCGCCTGCCGAGAAGAAGAGGAACTTCAGTATCGACGCTCTGATAGGTAAACAGGCGGCCAACGATCAGAATTGCGGCGGTTTGCTGGATCTAAGCCCGTCGGAGCACAGGGAGATCAGGAGCCAGGCGTCGGCGTTCTCCCCTCTGGTTTAGAGGATCCTGTTGCGGATTTCCTTCCGGGGGATGTCTTACGTCGAAAAAAAAGGAAAGGAAAACTGGGGGAACCTCGGTTTTTCCAAACGAACGAGGAAAGAGGTTCGAAAACTTTTTTTTTTGGAGGAGATCTGAGATAAGAAGGAAGAGAGAGGGGATCGAAAGGATTCAATCGAAGGAAGAAATATGAGGAGGGTGAACGAGGGAGCAGGTGAAAATCACCCGGTTTCTAGAGATCACGGGGAAAGGAGAAAAAAAAGGAAGAAAGAAAAGAGGAAGTGACTAGTTTGAGGAAGTTAGGAAGAACGATGAAAAGGATAGGGGCGATGGAGCGGGCCCAAAGAAAAAAAATTTCGATTCTTCGATTAAGTGTATAGAACGACGGAGAAACGAAGGAGGAGGAGGAGGAGGAGGAGGAGGAGAAAAGGAGAACAAAAGAGACGCGACGAGGAGTCGAGTAATTGTANAAAGGTGTAGTGCAATAGTGTAGTGGTTGGGTTTAAGTACGAGAAGAGGAAGAAAAGGAAGAGGAAGAAGAAAAAGAAGGAGAAGAAGAAGAAGAAAAAAAGCAACCCTTCGCTGTGTCGAACTGATCATCCTTAGCCGCTATCATCTCCAACGATCGATTCCTCTCGACGAATCGAACTTAATAATTTTCCAATCCCTCTCCCCCACGTTATTTTTCTTCCATTCTTAGCAAGGAAAAGAATAGAGCTTTTTTGCGCGTGTTGCCTCGTTTTGTAAACGATCGATTAATATATACGCCACTGTAAATATACAGGCACGCATATACACACACATACGTACATATACGCAAATTTATACACACGCATAGAGACATACGCACGCACACACATCCCGAACAAATCTTTGCTCAGCTTTCTATTGTTTGCGAATGAGAGGAAAGGAGAGAATGCGCGCGAGTGAAAGGGACAGAGAGGGTGGCGGAGAAACGATGGAGAAGGGGAGGTCAGTTCTCTTCATCGGATTTAAATGTAAAGCTCGGCCGGATTTTCGGTCAAGTAGACGTTTCAGTGTACATAGACGTTGTACGTGGAAAAAGATTAAAAAAAAAAAAAAAAAAAAAAAAAAAAAAAAAAAAAAAAAAA